TAGAGATTACTTTTAAGTAAAAAAGCCGTGTATACAATCTACTGCACTCTTATCTTACCCCATTTTAGTTATTGTGTAGAGGCCTGGGGACATTCTTATAAAAGTAACACAGATGTATTGTTTAAATTACAAAAAAGAGCAATAGGAATAGCTCACTTAGTTGAATATAGAGAACATACAAATACACTTTTCTGCCAATCAAAGACACTGACATTTGGAGACCTGGTCAAATTTAAAACATACCAAATCTTATTTAAAGTCAGACTCACAAACATTCACAAACTGTTCTGCACAAATGATTTCAAATACAACCTGAGAGGTCAAATGAATTTTAAAAAACAATTGTCTGGAACCCCTCTCAAAAGCATGTGTGTTACAAACGTGGAGTAGATTTATGGAATAGTTTAGATGACCATATCAAAACTTGGTGCACTTCAAAAAACTATATAAAAAGGAAATCTTGCAGAAATACCTGGAAGACTAGATCCATTGTTATCACTAGTAAACCATGACTATTAACTAAATACATGCTTTTCTCTAACATTACTTACATCAAACTTACATTCTTCATTTTCAGTTTGTTTATTTTGATACATTTGTAGTTCCGTGATCAATGTAAATAAGAGACCACATTATTTTTGAAAGTATGTCATGAACAGGGGTGGGTTAATATCATTTCTTCTTCCCGCTCCTTTTCGAGAAATGTGCTTTTCTGTTGTTTATAGTGTATATATAGTGTGTGTGTGATTATTGTTTCTCTATTGGCACAAACTCGAAATAAAAACAAATCAATCAGATAAGTATCTACAAGACAGGAGTTAGTAACAAATACATGTTTTGGAGGACAAACCAGAGCACAGGTGAGTCTGAACAAAGGCCAGGGGAGAGGTCAGGTGAGGGGAGTGGACGGGTGAGGGGAGTGGACGGGTGAGGGGAAAGGACGGGTGAGGGGAGAGGACGGGTGAGGGGAGAGGTCGGGTGAGGGGAGAGGTCGGGTTAGGGGAGTGGACGGGTGAGGGGAGAGGTCGGGTGAGGGGAGAGGTCGGGTGAGGGGAGAGGTCAGGTGAGGGGAGTGGACGGGTGAGGGGAGTGGACGGGTGAGGGGAGTGGACGGGTGAGGGGAGTGGACGGGTGAGGGGAGAGGTCGGGTGAGGGGAGAGGTCGGGTGAGGGGAGAGGTCAGGTGAGGGGAGTGGACGGGTGAGGGGAGAGGTCAGGTGAGGGGAGAGGTCAGGTGAGGGGATTACAGGTATCTGCCATCTACTGGTAACAAAAAAGTCAAATCGAAGTTCAGATTTTAGCTTTAGTTGTTATGACAACCTGGTCTGAATGTTATATAACTTTGAAATGAAACCCATGGAGATTTTCTCATTCTAACCTGTCCTTTTTTAATTGGCTTAATATTCATCATATCTAATTAGGAGAGTTAGATGAGTGTTTGAATAGCAGAGATAGACACTTGTATTGGTCTGATTAGATAATAGTTGTTTAAAGATCTCAAACAAAATCCAGTGTCTGTTGGACGTGTTCTGTGTGACTGCGCTGATCCATCTGTACTTCTCTAATGAAGAGGAAATGGAACGAAACAATTTCCTTTTGGGATTAACCAAATATTCCTCTTCAGAAAAGCTGCTGCTATCTCAGACTAATAGCTTTCATTTTAAATGCATAGCTTCTGCTGCTTTTTCCAAATGGCCTGCAGGATTCCAGAAATGCCACTACGCACTTTTCAAAGTGCTGTCGAGTCTATTCTCAAACTTGACCCAGCCCACGTCTCCTGCCGTAGACATTCGCTGCTTTCTTTTGTGGTTCGCACGATGTCAAGAATGCTAATCAATCTGATCCAATTTATGGTGGGAAATGTGTGTCTGAATGAGTTAGTAATTCCTTAAAGGGCCCGTATTACGCCATTTAGGGAGTTGGTATAATGTAGTTTCCTCATCACAAACTTCCATTGGGTTTTGTTTCATTCACACATGTTTAACACACAAACCCTGCATATTTTGCTCTCAAAGTTCTTCTCTCAAACAGAAAACACTGTTCCTTGTGATGTCATATGGTAATACAGGAAGTACTTCACTGTGTTTTAAACTCCATACTTTCAGCCCTGAAATTGGAGCTTTAATTAAGGTCATTGGAGGTAGAAAAGCTTCATCTAAATATTGCCTTTTTATTTTTAGCAACATGGCAAACAGATGATATGAGTATAATATAATAAGAATTATTAAGCACTGCAATTAAGCTCTGGAATGATTATTTGAATTATATTTAATAAAGATATGTTTAGGAGCATATAAAAGTAAATTGGTGTATCCAGTCTATGGGGTTATTATCAGACTGATAACACCAAACCAGAGCTGAAGAGTCTAACTCAAGTCTAACCCACGACCAATTCAGGACTAGAGCACTTGTTTTGGATACTGACCACTGAAGACCAGGAACACCCAACAAGAGCTGTACTAAACCAGATCTAACCCAAGTCTAAACCTGGGACTAAACCAGAACTAGAACAGAACTAAACCAGGAGTAGACCACTTATTATGGATACTGATCAAGAGCTGTACTAAACCAGGTCTAACCCAAGTCTAACTCAAGACTAAAACAGGACTAAACCAGGACCCAACCAGGATAAATCAGGACTGAACCAGGACTCTAAACCAGGACTAAAGCGTGACTAAAGCGTGACTAAACCCACAGCACTTATGGAGATATTCTTAGTCATTTATCCAAACATCACACCTTGCAAAATAATAACCTCAACCCCAAATTGTAGACGGTAACATCACAAAAAAAAGGTACATTTTGTCTCCCAAATGCTCCTGACTATAAGTACCAATCGCAGGTGCCATGTTGATTTATCGTGTACCTTATGCCGTATCTGCTTTGTAAACCTCTTGATATTTAGGAAAAGTATTTTTGCAGTTTGCTCTACTTTTCTCGCTTTTGGGAAATAAAAACAACTTCAGGAGCCCTTGCGTCGATACGAGTACTGCAATACAAAAATGTCCAAATGAAGATATATGACTTTGAGGCCAGCCACTTTTTCATACGTGCTGATATTTTCTATGGCAATGCGTTGAACAGGTGTGTCTAATGAAGTACAACTGAAGTACCAGAAGGACTCTTGCCTCACTAGACAGTATATCGCCTCATAGCTACAACACACACTTCTCCAATACTTCACCGAGATATGAGTGTGGTCATCAGTGAATCTCCTCGAGTTCAGATACGCGTGATTGACAGGTGGAATAGCCAATGGGCACGCATGGTTCGTCTGTAGCAAAACAGCGGAAAAAGAATAAAGCAGAAAATATCACAAGGGGCTGAAAAACAAATCAAACAAAACAAATAATTGAGTGAAGTATTACACTGTTCAAACCACTGAGCTCCTTTGTTTCTTTCACACGTGTCACTGAAATAATAACTGAGAGAACGGGGACCAAACTGATCCCTCTGCATGAAAAATATAGATATTTATATTCAGTTGCTCATGATCACAGATGGATACTGTCATTGTGTCCTTGGGCATGACACTTGGGCACTGGGGAGTGTGCTCCTTGGTGTAAAGAGCTTTGAAGATAGAAAAGCTCAATAAAAATACTATAAATTGCATAGTATTCTAGTTCAGCTTAAATTGCTACTAGGCTTGTCAAAAGTATACTCACACTAAAATCTAAAACGGAAAATCATTTGAGCAGCTATCAATACTAAAAAAGTCCCATTGACAGGACAAAAATGAAACTTTGCTGGAAAGTTTTAGAATGATTAACAACAAAATAAGTAAGTATAGAGACCAGAGGGAAATAAAATATATGTGAGGAAAAACACAATATACATACATGTATATATGCACACACACATACATACGTACGTACGTACGTACATACACGCATACATACACATACACACACACATACATACATACACATACACATACATACATACACACATACATACATATATATACATATACATACACATACATACATACATACATACATACATACATACATACATACATACATACATACATACATACATACATACATACATACATACACATACACACATACATACATACATACACATACATACATACATACACATACATACATACATACATACATACATACATACACATACATACATACATACATACATACATACATACATACATACATACATACATACATACATACATACATACATACATACATACACATACATACATACATACATACATACATACATACATACACATACATACATACACACACACATACATACATACACACACATACATACATACATACATACACACACACATACATACATACACACACACATACATACACACACACACACATACATACACACACACACATACATACATACACACACACACACATACATACATACATACATGTACATACACACACACACATATAATACATTATACATGAGTTTGTTTTAGTTTAGTAATAGACTTTAGTGGTTTTCCATATGATCAAGGAATTGTTTCCATATCTTGAAGAACTTGTCTTGTCGCTGCTGTAATCTATAAGTGCCTCTTTCATAGTTTGCAGTTTAAGCACCATGCTAGCTATTGACTGAAAGATTATTGAGTAAATTTCCATTCTTGACTTATATAAGAATATATAACGAACAAGACCACATGGACTTTTGTACGCCCATGGAGCACTGTTAAACCTATGAGTTACACAGAGAGGCCACCTGGTACATGGTAATATTAAAGACAGTACAATGATTGTTGTTAATGTTGAAAATGACCTTTTATTGGCTAAATAAATCATGTTTTTATTATCATCGTGGTATCAGTATCAGTATTGAGTATTGAGTATATTCGTTAGAATTGAAATTGTTTTAAATGTTAATATTGTGACAACAGTAACTGCAGCAGAATATTTTCACATATGTGGTCCAAATATTTTATTTTGTACAAATGGTTTTTGTTAAGTGTTTTCTTTTCTGTGTTTTCAGCCACGACTGCAGACCGCTTTTACCGGATAGATCGAGCTCAGGTACTTTGACACAATTCTGCTTTCACTGCTATTTTTCCTGTTTTTTGTTGAGGAATGTTTTCAGGTCAAAGTCTGTATTTGCACTCATGACCTCACTCTGGCCTTGGATTTGCTTGATTTATAAAAAGAGTTGTAAAGAGTCGACTTTTTTTGTAAAATGTAATGTCAGAATTTGATTCTGCTTTCAGACGAGGTAGAAATAAATTGGTAAATTCTGCCCAAATAGAACTTTGTATTTTTATACTTTATATTATTTCATACAAGCATTTTTCACATAGTATTTTATAATATAGTTAGTATTTTATAATATAAGGAGATTATAAATGTATGTGTTGTTCATTGTAAGAAGCAGAATAGATGTAAATCATGTAAAGAATACTGATATGGTAGTGGCAGTTTACGAAGCACCAAGTCTTTTTATTGGACCCTGCATCCAAGACTTTGAGTTTGAATTTTTCAATGAATCACAATTAAGTACAGAGCTATGGGCGGGGATAGGGGGTAGGGGAAAATGGTAATATTCTGAGTTAAACTTGTCTATTTCCATGGAAACAAGTACGTGATGCCATCAGGCCAAGTTACAGGTCAGATCTGTGGAGAGGCGACTGCGCTCATAGCGACATTACTTGCACTTCAATGTCATTTTGAGCAATAAAAATACCTGTAATGAAATAAATGTGAAAAATATATCATTAAATGGAAGCAGACCCTCCAGCAGAAAACTTACATAGAGTAGTGGGATTCCTGGAATATTGAAAATGTTGAGTATGTATGTGTTTAAAAGTCCCTTCAGCAGATCCTCACTTGACTTTGCTTGGCTGCTTTACATTCTCCCCTCTGTCTGTTGTAGGAGCACCTGAACTACATCCTGGAGCTCTCCCACGAGGAGATCTTCATCCTGGACCCGGAGCTGGTCGTCATGGCGACGGTGGGCACGGACCCGTCAGACACGCTTGACCCGGCCGACTCGGGGAGCAGCATACCAAAGCAGAGGTGGGTGAATTGTCATGGCGCCGCGCATTAGACCCCAAGGCAAGGTTAAAGTCAGGGATGCTCGGTCCATTTACATAAAACAGCCAAATGAGAATACAGGGGAATAACTTAACATTTAAAATTGATCTGCTGACAAAATGTTGGTGGGTTAATTAGACTACGAATTTTGTACATTCCAGCATATAATTACCACAACGCAACTTTAAAAAACATGAAAAATATAAACTAAATACTGAATAAAAATGTATGTGCTCAAAGTCCAGTCGACAGATTTTCATGTTTTTCTATTTCTGACTTAGTTTGGTGGAGTAGCACCTGTGTCAGTTTATGGAAAAAAAGTTGAAAAGTAAGGTACAAAAATACAGGACGTAGTAGGTAACAGGTAAGTTCTAAAACAGAACCTCTACCCACATCATCAGCACAAAAAGTCTGATAGTTTAAACCTTCATTTAGAAAAATACAGGTGTTGTAATTTGTTTATATCTGTCTGATCATAATTATTGTGCAATTTACACACGTTTTGGCCCTTTTAAAATGATGGTTGCTAGATAACAGTTATGGACTAATGGTGCGTTTGTTTATCCATCCGACTTGGCACCTACACGCCCCTTTTCCTCGGACAGCACGACTCGTAAGAAGTGACCAAGCAAAGTTTTCAAGATAGAATCCAAGATTGTGCAACCTGCACACACTTGCTACACAATTACAGTCACTCATATTACTGCAATACCTCACTGCGTCTGTATCACTGCAATACCTAACGTGCTAATGTGCCAGAATGAACGACTCTCACGTGACACAAATGCTTTCACTTCACTAATATACTGAATTCTACTATTTATACTGAATTATACTGTTTATACTGAATTCTTCCTCGAGGTTGTGTAGTTGAAACACAAACTTATTTTGGAGCCTCGTACTTGGCTAGTGCTAAAACAACAACAGCGTTCCGGTTAGTCCACGTTTTTCTCCACGTCGGACACACAAAACATAATAAAACAGTTGAAGCGGGGGCATGACGTCATATCAGAGATCCAAGTGGGAGACTGATGGATAAACGAACACAGCATTACCTCTAAATATGACACATCTGCTCCCCATGTCCTACCAGCGAGTAAAATAACACATCACCAAAAAAGTGTAAAATAAATGAAAAACAAGGCATGATTTAGTGAAATGAGTAGTCTAACCTTCAAATGCACTTCAACAGCAGGATAAACTGCTGATGTAATAAAAGTTAAGGGTGTACTATGTAGCCACCACCTGCTTTGTCTGCAATGTTCCACAGTATTGCATTAAACTGACCTAACTTGCTTTTTCCAGGTGTTTTTGTTGCTTAACAAATCCCTTGAAAATCCTGACTTGTTACTGTGAAACCTTACAGGCTTGTCTCTCTATAGATCTGACCTTTAATTTGGTCTTGTGGCGTCTTGTCTCCATGGTGACAAGTCCATACCTTGAGACATTACTGTCCAGACAGAGAAATAACATCTCAGCAATAACAAGCAGTTGATGCAACCTTCTCCGGAAAAGTTATGTAGTGAACATATTTAAAGACAGGGTATTATACAAAATCCATGTTTTTAAGCCTTCTACCATGTTATAATGTTCTCTTATCCAAAACTTAGATGTCATTCATGCATGTGTGAGTATTTTGGCGATCTGTCTCAGGCCTATTTAACCCTCCATACAGTTAGCAAAAAGACTGTTCAATGCTCCGCCCATGTCACCCACATCACCCACATCACCCACATCACCCACATCACCCACATCACACCCCACACATCCCCCACATCACCCACATCACCCACATCACCACATCCCCACATCACCCACATCACCCACATCACCCACATCACCCACACCCCCCACATCACCCACATCACCCACATCACCCCACATCACCCACATCACCCACATCACCCACACCCCCACATCACCCCACATCACCCCACATCACCCACATCACACCCACACCCCCCACATCACCCACATCACCCACACCACCCCCCACATCACCCACATCACCCACACACCCCCACATCACCCACATCACCCACACCCCCACATCACCCACATCACCCCCACACACACCACACCACATCACCCACACCCCCCACATCACCCACATCACTCACACCCCCCACATCACCCACATCACCACACCCCACATCACCCACATCACCCACACCCCCACCCACATCACCCACATCACCCACCCCCCACATCCCACATCACCCACACCCCACATCACCCACACACCCCCACATCACCCCACACCCCCACATCACCCACCCACATCCCCCACATCACCCACATCACCCACACCCCCCACATCACCCACATCACCCACATCACCCACATCCCCATACAAAATGATCCATAAATTCACAAAACCATGTTTCAAAAGTGTACACAACAACAATGACAAACCTGATGTGATGTGCAGCACTTTCATTAGTGGGATGCACACTGATTGTGTTGTGGCCTCGCTCTGAAGGGGGAGTGACATAGCGCAGAGAGCAATTGGAGGGGGTGCTCAGACTCAGGGTGCCCAAAACAAAAATGAAACTTGTTAAACATGTGAATACTTTGTTTTCAGCCCATACAGCATTTTGAAAACAATAAAAGGTCACACGGTGATCTAAAGATGTTGTGTTAGTTAATAGTTCATAGAAGTAAAATACTCCTCTTTAAATAAATTCATACAGGGGAAAGTTAAAAACGTGACAAACAAACTGAAGTTAAATTCAAGAGTTATATAATGTACTTAAACTTTGTTCCCCACAGATTAATGGCTGTAATTGGCTCTGATTGAACAATTATGTGAAGAGGCGCTCTGTGGAATTTTGACAAAAGGAAGGCTTCAAATCATATCCTTAGAATTAAGAATGTTAAGAAGTTAGTTCTTAAAATATCATCTGGGATTCTTAGTATTGCAAAGAGCAGTTAACTGTTATAAGTGTTGTAAATTCTTCACAGTGAATAAAAGTAAAGTGCAGCTAGAAGAACAGGACTAAAGCAGAGCTATTACACAAAATGGACTTTTCAGAGCTTTTAACCATGTTATAGTTGTTCCCTTCTCATTTACCCTCAGAGGTGTATTTGAGGTGATTGGTGTGTATTTAAATGATCTTTAAATCGCCTATTTTCAAGACACCAAATTGCCAATCAACCCCATTTTCCCCATCCACTGTACACACCCACTGCTCTCTACTTACTTTGGTCTTTAATTGGATTTTCTTAATCAGTGACACATGTAAGATTTGGCAGGGTCATATAGTTGTTTGGGTACAAAGGGGTAAAAAAATCTGCTACTCGCTCGTGTGATCTGCAGCTCTCCACTGGAGCTGCCGACTCTTTGTTCTGATTTTTATTTTATTTAGTCAGTATTTTACTAGATTAGTTAATTGTGAACACATGTGATTTGCAGTGACGACCAGACCAAGAGGCACAATCAAACAGAACACACTCACACATCAGTCCGAACATGAAACACTGAACAGAGACGTGAGAAAGTGATGACGCTTAAGGCAGCGCCAGCTCCCACTGGGCACCGCAGTTTCTAACGTCAGCAGACTTATTTCTTATGAAGTCACTTTAGATTAATGCTGCAATTTTAAATGTCAATATTATAACATAATGATCCATGGGTCAGAGATTATAACTATATATAGCAGACACAAGCACAATATTTAGTAATTTTTTTTTGCTAAAAAATACCCTGCATACCACTGTTATCTTGTAAAAAAAAATTAGAAACAAAACTCAAAATGTAGTATGTTGAATGAATGAATGAATGTTTATTTGGACAGTAATACATAGAACATACATAAAAACATTAATACATAGATATAACACAAAAAGTAAATATTTCTATTCTATAATAATAGGCAAAAATAAATGTTACGCCGATTTTCTTTGTGTCTGAAAAAGGAGTGGGAGAAAGTAACTAAGATAAGATAAGATAATCCTTTATTGTCTCCCATGGGAGAAATTTGTCTTGGGACAGGGGGTAACATGCTTTATCAAAAAACAGGACAACACAACACAAAGCAGCACATAAACAAACACCATAAAACAAAGTAAATATGAGACCAAGTCTGACCACGAATGATGCACCAACAGGACCTTTAAATTATTCTTAACAGACAAACCCTTGCATTCTTGTATTCTATTAATAATTGCACCTTCCCTAAGCCTATGTGCAGTTTTCTAACAGTCTCCTCAAAAATTTGCTGAAGTGAGCTTGGGGCCACACCCATTATTTTACCCGCTCTTTTAATCAAGGTAAAAATGTGTGATTTAAGTTTGACAGGTTACCAAATGTTGACATGCCATAGTGTAAAATAGATTCCATGCATGCTTTGTAAAACATCAGCATTACATTGGTGTCCACTCCATGTAACCTAAGCCGTCTTAAAAAATAGAGACGCTGGCTAATTCTTGAGCAGACAGATTGTACATGCGTCTCCACTGGAGCTGAGAATCAAAGAACACACCCAAGTACTTATAACACGTCACCTGCTCTATGTCCCTCCCCCTGATGTTAACGGGGCTGTGGTCCCCGACAGATTTGGGGTCAAACATCATCTCCCTTGTCTTTTCCACAGTTAAGACAAGGTTGTGCTCCTCACACCAAATACTTATTTAACCCCACCCCTTTTTTCTACCGTCCCAAATTAACAAAAAATAAATAAAAATTTGACTTCTCATTTCCTGTACAATATAAGCAGTAATTGCACAGTACCCATATTGCATTACAAATCTAACAAACAACAACAACAAATATATGTATATTCTGTACACAGATATAGTACACATCATATACACAGATATAATATACACATACCTACATACACATTATATATATGTTCAACTGATGAATGCTGAAGTTAATCTTAAAGATACACTATGTCACTTTTCTGGTGGGGCGTCAGTCATCTGCTCATGTTCATAGAGATGTTATTGCTTGGCCTGGATACATGTTCCACAGTATG